TTATGACCAAGTGATAATTAATTAATCACCACAAATTATAAGTAATTCAATTATATTTTCATAAGTGTACTGATATTGACGTGAGTAAAATATAAAGGTTCTCTTTAAGCTTTAACAGTGAAAGATAATCTCTCCAATAAATTCCCGTTTTTATTTTACTTAACATAATGAATAATTTATTGTGGCATGGCAGTGCAATTTTTTATCAATATAAATGTATAGTTTACAAATTATAAAGATTGGATTATCAAAGTAGAATAATTACACCACTTTATCATTTTATGAGAGTTGTGAAATTTCTTGTTTTTTTTTTATTATACCTATATCATATTTTATTATTGTGTGTACAACAGTACAATAGAGCACATAAATGTATGCTTAGATATATACTTAAGTAAATTAAAATTTTTGTTTCTAAGTTTGATGTTTGCTTTTTCTTTTCTGTTTTTGTCGTAATCAACTTTTGATTCGAGTACAAAGTTCAAGAGAATAATTATATGGAAAAAAATAAATTACCCGTACATATGTATATACACATATCAAATTAATAATAATTTAATTAAAAAATGTTTCTAATGTGATTTCAGAAAGATTTTGTACTTACGTAGTATATACACACACGCATATGATCTACAAATCTGAATAATTTTATGGAATGAATTGCGTATAGATTGTATGAGGAGTATTTAAAATCGGCTTTCCTCAAATGAAATGACAATTTATTTAGCTTTGATTTTATAATTAGTTAATTTATTCCAAAAAAAAACTTATATGAAAACATAATACTTTGTAAAATCTATACTGAATTTTCGAATTTGGACAGAAAAAAAGCTTCAAATAGATCTAACTATTTAATGCTAACATAGAATAATTTTTCAAAATAACTAAATATTTAAAGGAATGTAATAAATATTTAATCGAAAAGAAAATTTTTTAATTGAATAAAATTTTGACCTAAAATGATTAGCGAAAAGTAACATTGCTGCTCACAAAATTTATAAAACTTCATCAAATTTCTTTTAAAATTTTTCTAAATTTTTTACTACACAAACAAAATAAAATTAATTCATTACAATTTATTATTGGAAATTATTGTAAACATAATCGCAACTGTGAGTGCACTAGCATTATTTCAAAATAAAATGAATAAAATTTAGGTAAATTAATGTATAATTAATTAGTGATCTGAAATTTATGGCATGCTTCAATACCATTTATCGCAAATTAATTAAGAAATTAAAATGCATAGTAGAAAGAAATGCAATGCAATTCTTTCTACTATGCATTTAGATATGTGCGTTACTTGCAATTTCTATTTGTATTTGGTTTCAATGCGATTAATTAATATTTTGTCAAGTCTACTTTAAAAATACATCGAAATTATAGGCATAAATTCAAAATATGTTCAGGGAAATGGAAATTATTTTTTTTCTTGTTTTCTCTATACATACATATATGTAAATAAATTGAAAATATAAGTAAATTTCAAAAAATTATAACAATTTTTTTAGTCAATGTTTCTCTTGCAATTCAAATTAAAATAATCTTGTGAAATTTTCAATCTCAAGATTAAGTATTTAATCTAAAAATTTAAAACCAAATCAAAATTAGATATTTTCATACTTATGTACATATAAGTATGTACAGTTAATTAAAAAACTTTCATCAATGTGCTTTAAGTTTTATATAAAATAAAACTGATTGGTTGATCATCTATTGGGAGCCTAGGTTAAATTTTTTCCTTTAGAGTGTCTGGGGTCTTTAAAAGTTAGAATGAATCGTAATCCTTTTGCTAATAAAGAATAAGTTGTGCCTAATCTAATTTTCAATTACAAATAAATAATTACTTAATTGAGTATTGAACCCAATTATTTTAAATAACTATTCCATGTATCTATGTTCCATGCATGTATATCTCATACTACACGTCCTAAGTCAAAAAATTTCACTATCTCTAAATACATACATTCATATGTACACTTTTTCCGTCAAAGAAATTACCTAAGAAACTTACCTAACTTGTTTATGTGTCATATAAACGCTTCTATTTAAGCATTTAATTATTTTGTGCGACAATATTTTTTTTACTACAATTTAATAAATAAAGCTTGAAAGTCATAAAGTAGTTTTATAAGCCTTTGATTTTTAATTTTTAAAAATTCTTCTTATAATTATAATAAATTTTTCCGCCTTTTTTAATTTTTAATAAAAAAAAATACTTATTAACATTGACATCTGGGTAAAATGAAAACTTTTACGTTGCATGTTTTTCAAAACCGGTTACTGAAAAAAATTACCAGAAGCGTTTATTTTTTTTTTTTCATTTTTACAAAGCACACACAACAAAAGAGTCCTATAAATTTTGCAGTCAACTTTCTCTAATTACACCTTCATTTTTTTCAACAAAATTAAAATAAAATGAAAAATATATTTTTTTCTCGTCCCAAACTCTTTATAGTGATTACATACGATTCATAAAACAAAAAATTCACTTCAGTGTAACAAATATCCAATTTATAATAATAACAAAACTTAACATGTTTACCCAATCTTTAAAATACACGGTTATTTAGTCAGTTTATCTGAATAAATTACGGTACATTATCTATTTAAGTGTTGAAAAAATTAAAGGCTTCAAAAATTTTCCATATTCTCAAAATATTAGTAAAGACAAAAACACAGAGAGAAAGAGAGAGAAAAAAGAAAGCAACGTTTTTCAATGGCATTTTTCCAATAATTGTTTTTATTTTTTTTCCTCTTTGTTATTTTTTTGTCTCTTTTTTTACCTTCTGTCGTAACTCGTAGCGATCTCTAAAATTCCCTCCCCTTGTTGTAATCGCACTTACTTGTTATGTTTATTTAGATAACACGGCAAGAGTGAAAGTTTTACAGTTTATTTTTTTTTACCACAATTTTTTTTTTATTTCGTTTTATGATTATTATTTTTTTTAACTGGTTTTTTTGTTATTGAAAACTTATTCAAGCCAGGTTCAATACAAAAATGAGGAAAAAAGAAAACAAAGAAACAATACTAAAAAAAAAACAAGCACACAAAAAATTCAAGTAAATTTTCAAGTAAAATCTCTAGAGTCTACCCAATGATGGGAGCACATACACACTTTTCATACTTAATATGAATAAACGTTTATATTTTGTAGCTTTCTTTATATTCATGTACAAAAATACGATTAATTCATTCAATTTTACTGTTATTTAAATGTTATGAGAAAAAAATAAACAGCTTTTAAGGTAGACAAGAAGTAACAATAGCGATTTTTAACTTTCTTTCTCAAATTCATAAAAAACAGGAAATATTTTTAAACAAATAACATTTAAAAATTATTAAAATATTTTTGAAAAGCACAATTTTGTTAAAATATGGGTTCAAAAGTTGCAAATTTGTGAAAATTTTTATTATAAATTTGACAAAAATCCTAATTTGTTGTATAAGCATAAAAGTGGTAAGTAGTAAAAGCAAGAAATTTCTTTTATTACTTACTTAATTTTTAAAATATTCAAAAGTGAAATTTTAAAATCGAAAATTATGGCAAAATAAAATATTTATGAAATTCTATTTCAAAAAGTCCTTATTTGAAATAGCAATCAAATTCATTAGTAAGATTTTAAACATTTTTGATGAACCTGATTTCACGAGAAAACTAGTTAATTTGATGGAAAAAAACTGTTGATAACTGGGTGTAAATTTTTTCAAATTTTCAAATGTTAACTAAATTAATATTTCTCAACGTATAAAGGGTTTTAAAGAGGTGCGACTTGTGAGTAGATAGGTATACATAGAAATATATGAATGTATATAATTTCACTGAAGTATCATGTTAGACACTGAAGTATCTTTTCTACAAATCTAAGAATTTATTGTAAAGTTTAATTTTTTTTTAACTTACATGTGCTAATATTGTATAATTTATTTAATATTTTCTAATTTAATTTAAGAGTACCGTCTAATTGTTTCGACTTTGAAATTTTTTTTTTTGATATTGTTGTTTTGCACTTCTTTTTTTTAGTGCTTTAACATAATCATATATGTATGTACAATTGTGTGTGTATATACTTGGATAACATAAATAATAACATATATGAGAACATAGAAGTAATTAATTTATCGTATACCTACAAATAGATATAGATAAAAAAAATATTACAAAATTTCACACTTTAGTTTTAGTAAACCAGAAAAAAATATGCTTTTATCGATTTTATTAATAGAACAAATTTAAAATGATTTGTACTAATTAAAAACACCTTCAACTCATTTTAAATTAGTACATTTAATACAACAAAATTGTTTGATTTAAGATTTTTTTATGTCAGCGCAAAAGTTGCTTATAATAGAGGAAATAAAAAATTTTACACTTAGTAGATTCATAGCATAATCGAATTTAAACCGTTGTATAAATTGTGTATTGCAAGCTTGTGAATTTGTGAAAATTTTCAATTGTTTCATTTTAAGTCGTAATGATACTTTACGTATTTGTGATATAAGGTATTATTAAAATTAAAATTATGCTTAATAATACTTTAACTTTTAGAAATTGGTCTATTAAATGCGCTTTAGCGATATCAGCTAATTTAAATTGGATTTGAACTGGAACAAATTATCGGACCAATATAATTAAATTGACTTTCTTATCTCAGGTACCTTATTAACTACTCATTAAGTATATAATTTACAGTATGCAGATGTTGGGCAAACATTTTTCATAAATTTTGCTGAGAAGCGGACGGTGTTCTACACATAAAACATTAATCAAATCGAATAATGGGGCTTATTTTCAGTATCAAATCAATAAGTAATAATTATCGTAAAAAGTTCGATATTATTATTATAAACATGAACCAATTAATACAAATGATTCGCGTCTATGATTAAAGTTTCGAAATTTTTACGATAAATATCACTATCACTTGTTGATTCGATACTCACAACATCGAATAAATAAAATTGGTTGACATTTTTTATTAAATATTACTTTACTTACTTTTTCTATTTTTCAACAAATATAACGCCAAAATTATAATTCCAATTATTGGAATTGGCACCAGTACATAACTAGATTCTATTGTTATTTCTGAATTAAGAATATCCATTTTGTATGCGAAGTTTGTTTGTTGTTCCAATCGTTAAAAAAATATTCTATTAATTTTTTTTTTTAAATTTCTTTCAATTATTTTTTCAATACAATTTTTTTTTTTTGAATTCTCAATATTGAATTAAAAAATATGAAAAATATGTCATTTATGTACAATTTTTGGAAATTTATTCACATTTATTATTTCTGTATTAATATGATTAATTGTTCTTATTTTGTTCACTTTTTTATAATTAAAAATCACTACAAAATAAAAAAAAGGTAAGTATACATAAATTTATATAATTTATAAAAAACTACATTAAAAAAATTTTAATTTTGCTCAAATATAGAAATTTTATGGGATATTTTCATTAAAATTTTTTATGTGCAACAATTTTAATAATTCAGTGGAATTTTTTAAATTTACACATACAACACTATATTATTATTTTTATTAAATTATTTTAATTATTAAGTTTTATTATATACGCACAATAATTATTAATTATTATTCCTTAAGAATTTAAAATACATATATAATTTTCAATTGAAAATAAATTGGCGCCAAATTGAAAATGGTGTGCGCTTGTATATTTGTAAATACACATAAGATATTGTGCATCTATGTAATTATGTTTTGTTGTTATTTTTATTATTAGATTTTTATTTTTACATGAATTACTTATACATAAAATAAGCAAGATTTATTATCTGACTATCCGAAACGAGGTTAGCAAACAACAAAGAACCTTTTACGACTGAAAATAAATTTAACTGAGAAATAATTTTTATATTGCAGCTGCTGCTAATTTTTAAAAGAAACGAAATTTTTTGATTTGCCTTCTGCCTACATATCTATACAATATCAAACAGAGTACATACATACAACGCTCTTGTAATAAAATATTTTAAAGAATAGATTTATTTTTTATTATTATTGTTTTTTTTTTTCAATTTTTTTATTTCTCTGAATATCCTTTTTCATAGAACCTATAAGACTTTATAATATGAACAGAACATACACACACGTGTGTGTATGTATACCATACCACGTGTGCAAATGAATGTGCACAAAAAATTTCAAATTTAAAACTATAATAAAGATTTTTTTTATATATGTACATATTATGAAGTCTGCCCTCATGTTTGTTGAAATTTAAAAATCTTCGACGCATAAAGCAAAAACAAAACAAAAAGAAGAAAATTATTTCAATGAGAACAAAACTGAAAAAAAATTCCAATTCTTTTTGAGTTGTTTGGTACAGTAGGTTATGTACCTACTGTGAATCTTCAAACTTACAAAAACATACTATTGGAATTTATGTATATGAGTGTATAATAACAACATAACATATCTATATATTTATAATATCTATAAAGTCAGAATGATAATATGTAGAACATAAAAAAGAACAAATTCTGAAATTTCTCAAACAACCAGACAATAAAAAAAACATAAAAAGTAACCGGTTTTTCAAATGGAATGTAAGCTTATATAATTACTTATAATGCACATAAATGCATACATACAAACATGTATGTATAAAAACTAACACACATGAAGGTTTATTTAACAACATGAATTATTTCTAAATAGGAAGAAGGTAAGAAACCTACAAAAATTCAATACCACAGTAATAATGACACAGTCTGTAAGAAAAAAAAATAATAAAAAGGAAAAATTAGAAAAGAAAACAAAAAATATATGGACATGTGCAAAGTTCAATAAACAGACGTTTCCTTTGCAGATGTTGCTAAACATACATAATATACTTATATAATTTATATAAGTATTTATGTATATGCAAAAAAATGTATATATGTTTGAATCTTGTCGAAAAGCACGTGAATTTTGTGAAAAAAATTTTTTTGCCTCTTTTATTGTAAGTTTTTATGCAATCATTTTTTTATCATAGTGAGAATTAATATATTGAAGACATGCACGCATAACTTGAATTATGTGCAGCAACAGAAGTTTATTATGAAAAATCCCAAAATTATCTTTCAGGACATTAGGGTAAACAATGTTTTCGGCCTATTGTTTTAATTCATCTTCTGCCTTTCAGAGAAGAAATACACTTCTCAACCGGCTTTCAATATGAGATATTTTTTATTAAATCATAGGCTGGACAAAAACTATGTAGGCATACATAATTTCGCGCTTAGATTTAGATATTGCTACTCTTTTTCAGATTAATATTTGAATTGTACGGTAAATTAATGAAATTTTTAATTTATGCAAAATATTCTCTCGGATACAACAGAGAAGTTTAAATTATTTGTACATTAACTTTAAACATTTTATACACAAACACATTTTAATTTAGTGATGTAATTGAATATTTTTTTAAATATCGAAACATTAAAAAAAACAAAATTTTTTTATTATCCAAAAAAATTTAAACAATGACGTCAATCGATTACTATACAATTAAATTCAGGTTATTATAGCAAATAAATTTAATTTTAATATTTGAAATTTGTTATTTGTTTATAAAATTTCAGAAAATTCCCAAGCTTTTCTATTTTTGTTTATTTAAACGAATTCAATAAATATTTAATATAGCCACCTACATATTAAATAAACAAACCTATGTACATACATATATATAATATAATATATAATATTAAACAATTATTAAATTAATATTTTTAAATAAAATGTAAGAATGGTTGTGTATGCATGTGTGATTAGGACAAAAATAACGAAAGCAACGAATTCTAATTATTTATATAAGTTAATATTTAAATAAATAAAATTGTGTACTATTATGCATAGGTAAGTATATAGATTAATAGGCACATTTATGTGCATGTTTTCAATTAAATTTTATTTTTTAATAATTTTTCAGTATAATGAAAATTAAATATAAATAAAATTTTAATACTTGGAGGAAATATCTGTGATAATAAGGAAAAAGAATATAAGTGGTCTACTTAGCACAAAATCTAGACATTATCTGAAATTTTATTCAATTCAGAACATTCCAATTTGGTGAAATCTAATAAAGAAAAATTGTACATGAGGGACTCTTAAGAAAATTTAATAATAAAGAAAACAAAATTTAATTCAAGCTACGAATTTTGACTTCAATTCTATAAAGCGCGCAATAATTCACTACCTCGAAACCCTTATCCTTACATTCCATTTGGTTCAACATAAAACCTGTTGCATTATTATTTTGGGAACGAATGAATGGGCAAAACCGGCTGAAACGACACACACATCAACTTCATCCTATATTTTTTCCATTTATTATTGAGTTTTTCTTTTCTTTTGTTGTTGTTTGTTCTTAATTTTGTTTATTTAGTTTAATATTTACCTTTAATTTGTTGACTATATTGTTTTCAATTTCGAACTTTAACCAGAGGAAAAAAAACAGAGAAAAAACAATAAGAACAAAAACACTTATAAAATACAAAGAAACACAATGAATCATTCATGACTGTTGTTGCTATATTTTAATAGTTTGTTAATGTTATAAATATTGTAGTAAATAACTTGTTACATGGCGGATTTTTATTAATAAATATGTTCTTTAATTTGTTCTCCTTATTAATTTGAAATTGTTTGCACATACTTTAATATTTTAATTATGCAATAGAAAAACATAAAATTTTAATAAAAAATATTTTTTTAATGTATTTTATTTACTTAAAATACTGCAATAATGTTATATGACCGTCTACACATTCAAATATTTTATGTAATATTGTGAATTCAAATAGAATATGTAAGTAATTTAATAATTTGCATATGATAATAGAATTTTAGAAAAAATTATTAAAAACGTACATAACTACTGAAATGAAATTCTGAATTGCGCATTCTGAATAAATGAATAAATTTAAAGTCATAACAATAGACGCGTCTTAATTGTTAAGCTTTCAAAACAAGTAGTTTTTTATATAGCCTTAAAAACACCATATTTATCACAAATATTTTGAAAAAAAATATGCGCCTTATCTCTAAATCTAGAATTCTAGTTCAAATTATAAAATAAAAAATATTTATGTAAATATGTAAATATTATCAACTTAGTTTTATAGATTACAACTAATTAAGAATGTACGCATGTGTGTCTCATAATCATATGATCCTCTTATGCTAAGTACACGTATAGTACCTATTAGACTGTTATTTACTACTACTTTAATAAATATTTATGATAAAAAAAAATAAACTTGTGGTAAATTACCGATAATGTTCTAATGTTATGTACAAAAATAAATAAATATGGAATGTATATATTTTTATGATGAAAGAATTCATCGAAATTTCATATTTCAATTAAGTTTTTCGATTATATTTAGCAAAATAACAAATATTTACTATCTTTTGTTTTTCAAGTTCAAACGTCTCTTGACATTATTTTTATAATTTGTATTTATAAATAATAATGAAAACATTTATGCTTACTTAATGTTGTCATATGAACGAGCAATATGCTCAATAAAAAAGGGCAATAAATTATTTTTAAAATAATATTCAAAACATACCCTCATATGTATATATTGTACGTACGTATATACATATATATATATATGAATATTTCTAATTGAATTATTTTTTTATTTCAATAATTTTATTACCACAATTTTTTTTATTGAAAATGTTCTAGAAGATTGGAACAATTAATGATATTTTAAGGTAAAAATTTTAATATGTAAATGAAGTGCCTATGTATTTAAGTACTTAAATAATATTGAAATATCTTTAGATCGTATGGAAGAAATTTTAATGGACTCATTAACTTGGTGCAATATATAACGAATCCTTTATAACCTGAGAAAAATTAATTTTTACCAAGCCATTTGTTGACCAGTAAATTTTTATTTTACAAACGAACCTTATACCTAATTTTGGCTATTCATTATAAGTACGTATGTATGTATAAAAATTTCAACTGTATATAAAAATAATTCAAAATCCAAAACTAATAAAAAATATTTTATTTGTTGAAAAATAGCTTTAAAATATCAGGTCTAAAATATAACAAAAATTCATGTGTAATTTGACAAATAAATAATGTCAAAAATTGCTTAGCAAGTACTTGATGCCGGCATAACAGTATAACAATTCTCATTTATTATACATAATTTTCATTTAAATTATAATTTAAATAATAGATTTTTTAGCTCACTCCAATTCTATTAAGTGTTATATATTATCTTACTTCGAAAGAAGTACAATTTTAAAATTAAATTAAAAGGAAATATGTATTTTAAACTCTAGGAATTAATACAAAAAAGATTGTTTAGATAAAAATGAGTTCGTGCTAGTGTGTCAAATGTGTAACATTTTATGTTTGGGTCTGTGCGTTTATTTTTTTGGATTCTAATTGATACGATTTTAATTCGTACGAATTTTTGACACTATCATTATTTTTTGATATTATCAATTCCTTTTTGAAATTACTTTTAAAAATTCCTAATAATTCAATCTTTTTTGTTTTTTATTTAATCGTATAACAATTTCATTATTTCAAACTGCATTCCTTTCTCTCTCTCTCTCTCTCTTTCTCTCTTTTTGGAATTAATTTTTTGCTCCTCTACAATTCTTATTCGATTTTTTTTTATTAATTTTATTAAATTTTTTTATATTTAATACAAAATAAAAAAATAAAATATTCATAATGTGAACATACGTTCATACACATATAGTATAACATTTAAATAAATTAAATTGTTATAAAATTTCGTGATTACATAGTATTTTTAGATTTTTTTTTCTTAAATCATATGATTTTTCATTTTACTTCGATTTTTTCTTTTTTTACTCTGCCACTAATTTTCTTTCTGTGTACACCTATTTTCTCAATTTCTTTCAAAAGTTTTTATATAAACACACATATGTACATATGTATATACAAAATATAGCGAAAAATATTCAAATGAATGTTTTTACAAAAAATAAATAAGAAAAAAAATATAACAACAAAACGAAATCTAAAATAACCTTTACATATTTTATTTACTTATTATTTTAATATGTATGCGCATAATATTATGTTATTTATATAGGTAGTCTAGGTAGTCATTTAATATACATACTTGTTTACATACAATAAGTATATGTACATACGTACGTACATATATAATTTTCGAATTTATTTTTATAATTTTATCGATATAGACACCACACCAAAACTGAAAATAAGGTTAACTAAAATGTGTTTATGATGATTTTTTAAGTATTTTATTTTAAATAAAAAAAATGGTGAAAAATAAGTATAAGATGTTAGGAGTTTTAAAATAAAGAAAATTTAAGTGTTCAATATCATATTTTAATCACATTTGCAATTAAACTCATCATAAAATTTTAATTATAATTTTATAAAAATTAAATATTTTATTAATATTTTTACTATGAATTTTAATATATTTTATGAAAACATAGAATTAAAAATTTAGAACATTATATGAATTGAATCTATAAAGTAAACTCCAACTATGTACATACATATATAAGATGATATTATACAACGCTACACACCACAATTACGGCGCACAATTTTTGTTATTATTTTTTTTTAAATAGATATTATGTGAACATAAATATATACATATAACCATACATAGTAGATAATATATTATTCTGTGTATACATATGATTATCTATATGCATTTACATAAATGTAGGTAGGTATATTGCTATTTTCATATTATTTATTTTATAAGATTAAATGTTAGGTATTTTCTAGTTTTTTTCTTCATTTCTTGAGATTATGTGTATTTTGCGCGATATTGTAGTTGCTTTGCTACAAAATTGTTTATTATAAGTTTGAAAAACAAATACATATATGCATATGTATATATACATGAGTATATATCAATATAATATATTTTTCTTATGTGAAATAAAAAAGAAAACACCTATCTGATGTAACATTTTAGTAGAAATTTATAAAAAAAAATGAATAAATAAAATTTTTTATATTTGTCACACAATTTTCATTTTCAAATATCGTCGTTTTATTCAATATTTTTTATAATTTTTATTTTTATTAGTTTGTATAATATAATTATTAATTTAATTCAATTAATTGTAAGTATTTTTAAAACATTTTATTCAAATTTAATTTTTTATTATTTTGAATTTTAATTTTATTTAATTATTTCTATTAAAATGTTATGATAATAATATGCGGTCATTTGTACTTATGTTTAAGTATTTCTTTTATACTAAAATTATAGTTACTTCTTTAATGTAACTATATATGTAATTACTTCTTAAGTAGTGAATAGCAAGCACGTGTATGTAACTTGACAGCTGTTACTGGCCTATTACAATATGGCTCTTTATTCCTCTTATTTTTTTTAATGTTTATTGTGTTTATTTTTCTTTTAATATTCTCTCGTATGTAGAGTATTTTTGGTATTCAATCAGAATCGTCGTGTAATCAATAATGCAATCAAAATTAAAATTGATTTTTATTGAATTTTTGTTTTTTTTTTTTCATATATATAAAAAGTCGCCGAAATTTCAAAATTTTGACACTATATATTATGTTGTATATGTATATATATACAATTCAGCTAAAATATATTTTTAAAATTAATCACTGATAAAATCTTAACTAGTTCATGCTATTTAAGATACTACTAATATGCTTGTAAGTATGTATATACTTCTGTAATTTATAACTTTGAATGAATTTGAGTAGCAATTTTAGATGCAAATTTAGATTTTCGATAATCTAAAATAATATTTGTTTTAATTTTGTTTTTTTTCTTATTCATATAAAATGTTATATTTAATTTTATAATTTATTTTTTGTTTTTTTTTTTTATATTTATTTATATATTTTCGCTCTGTATACATGTAAAATATAGAAATTAATTTTTATTACTTATAAGATTCGCAGTTACGAGAAAAAAAATTATTAAATTAAAAATATTTTAAGAAGATTTTAAAAAACTTTTTTTTTTTGAAAATTTAAAAAAAAAAAATTAAAAATTTTTATTTTACTCTCTTCGAAATCGAACCGAAATTGTTAACTTTAATGTCAAACAGATTTTATAAGACTGAAATTGAAAAAGTTTTGTATTTCGATTTTTGCATGACTGTATTGACTACACACCAATCCAACCACACTGTACTAACGGTGAAGTGGTCGGTCGATGAGTTCTCGTTTTTATGTTTCTCTTTAGTTTGTTTTTTTAATTTTTTTTTCGTTTTACTTCATGCCAATTTTCTTATACATATTGTTGCTTTTTTTGTTGTTTTTCATATTTTTATTTTTGAACCGTTGTGAAAGCTTTTTTTTTGTAAACATTTTCATTTATTTTTCATTTTTTTTTAATTTAATAAAAATATAAAACACACAAACGCACACACATGCAATGGAATCTTCTTATTTATAAAGACGAGTTGTTCATTTTTATGTTTTTTGCTTATTTTACTAATTGTACACATGCCATACAATAAATTAAAACTACAATAATAAAAGACTTGGTTAACTTATCATTAAAAGCTTTTGAATTTTTTTTATTTTGTTTTTATTGTTTTGTGTGGAGGAGAAAAATTTGTTTTGTTTGTTACGAATACGATTTAAAATGTAATAGACAAGAGCTTTTGTATATATGAAATAAAGGTGCGTTTACATTCAATGAAAAGTACTATACAAAATAATAAAAAAAGCTATGAGCAAAAAATGTACTATAAGTTTAGCAAAGAAAGAAAGAGAAAAAAATAAAAAAAAGTCTATTTCTTTTTTTTTAAATTTTAAACAATTGTAAATTGTACTTCAGTATTGAGTTCATATGTACCAAAAAGGCTGTTTTCGCACTAAGGGGCAATTTGCAATTAAACGAATAAATTTTCCATGAATTTGCCTGAGGTTATTGTGACACAAACACAACATAAGTAATAACTTATTTGCCTTTTATTAAGAAATGTAAAATTTACTTTTTCCCTCTTAATTTATTACTATTTTCTCTACTAATTTAATATATAGAAATATACTGAATTCAATGTAAGATATTAAGATCTTAAAAAGATATATATACATATATACTCGTAAAATTCAGAATACTTAATTGTCTCTAATTTGATTTTGAAGTTTTTTAAAAGTGGGTCCACAAAGCTTGGTGTATTCGATAATTTTAAACTTAAAATTTTATTTTTCTCTTTAGTTTTGTGTTGCGGAAAAGTAAATTTAAATTATTCCGAAAATTTGGTTTCTTTTAAAAATTTTTTAAAAGTGTGAGACTTTTAAGGAATATAGCAAAAAATGAAGCTCAAACCTCAATTGTCTATAAAAAAACCACAAAGATAATAATTATAAGTCAGCAACTTTAGCGTTTAATTGTTGCAACGTATTGCAACAATTAAACGCTAAAGAAAAAATTACATAACTAAGTAGTACTAAAAATCAAAACATTCAGTATTTAAAATATTGTAAAATAACTTTATTTACTTGCTATTTAATTGCATAGGAAAAAAATAGTACAGAGCAAAAATTATGTTTAAATTCACTAATATTGATATTTTTAGCGCATATTAGCGATAAATTTTTCCTTATTTTCACAATTTCTTGTTTCCTTATATTTTCTTTAAGCAGAATACTGTAACAGCAACATTTTCTTATTTCCTTTTTTTTAAATTAATACCAATGTGAAATTTAAACAAGTTCAAATTTTATATAAAATTTTCCTTTCATTTTTGATCGCACCATTAAAAATACATGCATACTGGAAATTTCAAACCGGATTCTCTAGATCAATAACACTTATACTCGTATGTATGTATATACTCGTACGTTTTAGTCGATGCGTATCGTAAAATCGAAATTAATGTGATTAGATTTCATTATCACTATCACTTTTACTTCATCAACAGATCATCCCACATTAATGTAAAATAAAAATTAATAATTACGATATCAAATTAAAAATTAATTTTTGTATTTATATGTAAATGTCTACGTATATATTTATATGTAAAATAAGAAAAACCAATACTACTTTTTCCTTTTTTTTGTCATTAATTATTTGCATAATACAAAATAAACATAAATCTATTAATACATATTTGAACTGGCGGAAGTTGAAGGTGAATTCGATACAGAACTCAAATTTCACTCTTTAATATCTTTTAATAATCAAAAAACAATAAAAAAAATATCCCACTTTATTGCTAAAAGAGAAATAAAGTTACCATCCCTTTACTATTATTGAAAAATTTTCAAACTTAATTTTCGTTTTAATTATTTTAATAAAAATTTTTCTATCAAATCCGAACTTTAAGTTAGAATTAAAATTTAAACAGTTGAGATTTAAATTGAGGAAAATTTAAAATTGCTTACTTACAGGCGCAATACATGAAATTTTATAACAAACGTTAAGGATTTTTAGAAATCTTTTACATAAAATTTGTTTTTTAAATAATTTTATTTATTTTAACATTTTACAATTAAAATCTTACACGTTCGCTAAGAATAATTCAAACAAATCTTATTCATTAATTATATTATTAAATGAAAGTAATAGTGTTATACAAGAATGCAAATAGAACACACTTTTCTATTAGTATTTTTTGTTATTAGGATTCCATTTATTCCTTACTTCCGTAATACGATTTTGATTATTGTTATTCTTAGTTTAGTCATATTTTCAATATTTTGTTATTGAGATGTCAACAAAATCATAAAAATTACTAAGATAAATTTCCCTATAAAACTATTTAATAAAAGCTGTTTTTAGAAAAATAATTAAAATTAAATAAAATTTCGAAAAAAAAAATATTTTCTTGCTTTTAAATATTTTATGATTCATTATTTGAAGTCTGCGGTGGTAATTTCTCATATTAGATTTTAATTAAAAATGTGACGTAAAATTTACCAACTTGGTGTCAATAATAACAAACTAAAACACACATATATGTACGTATGTGTATATGAGTATGTGTACAATATCAATAAAAGAAATTACTGAAATATTAGTAAGTTTTAGTTATTCTTGTTTATATTTTTCTTGTAGTATACTTTAATTTTATATTTTGATTGTTGATATACACGTATAAAAATATTTGAAAAAAAATACTAAAGCTAATAAATCGCCTTTTTCAATGAAAATTTTGTAAATTATCAACACAAGTGGTAAGTTCTGGAACGTTTTCATGATAACCTCGTTGCTAACCATTTTCAAGCCTCAAATTTTAGTCGGAAACTTATTTACTCGAATTTTATAATTTTGTTTTTTTTTTTTTTTTAAACTGCCGAAAATATTTTTTGTATATGCTGGTACCTTTATTTATTTATTTTCTTTATGCTCTACAATATGATGCATCCAACGTTTTTGTGTTGTTACAAAAAGTAAAGCGAATAAAAAACAAAAACCAAAAAAGTTAAACCAAAAATTTTTTAATGGCTAAATTTCCATTATTTTTTTATCTTATGTAAATTTATGTGTATACGAAAGTGAGATTGTAAGTTTAAATGGGTATATAACTGAAATGAATGATGGAAACTTTCTCTGATAAATATTATGACTGATTTTATAATCTACTCAAATGAAAGTAAATATGTAAGTATAATTAAATTAAATTATTTTTTCATATATAAAATTTGTGACCTAAACGAAAAAACAATTATAACAATAACCTTTCTGCATTAACTGTAATAAGAAAAGGGAAACTGATAAGAAATGGGAGACGATTTATAATCGGAACTCAATTTACTGTAAACCTTATGACGTTGCCTGTAATCAGTTCTCAAGATGCAATTTACATAATATTATTTGGTATATGCCCACATCGTATGTCTGACAGCTGGTTTTCAAAGAGTTGATTTGTTTCTAATTAGTTTTTTGATCACATTTTTTATAAACTC